TTGGCCTGTATCACCGGACCGTGACATGACCTGTCATACCGGGCCGTGACCTGACCTGTGGCCCCGCCATGCTCCAGCGGCCGTCAGTGTGTGTGGGGGGAGGGGGGAGGGGGGTGCGCCCACACAAAGGTGTCGGGTGCGTCATCCGGCCGTCATCGGTCGGCCACACGCGGTGTGAGGACAGCTCGTCCACAACGCTCACTGCTCACTGCTCACCGCTCACTGCTCACTGCTCATCAGAGTGTGGGCCGGACATGTCGAGTCGCCGCAGGCACGCTCTGAATCTGAATGTCATCGGCGGATTGCGTTCCAGCTGTACCGAGTGTTGGCCATCACGGCTCGGAAACCAGTGTGTGTGTGTGTGTGTGTGTGTGTGTGTGCGTGTGTGTTTTAGTTGTTCCGCTCTGCCTCTGTCTCCGTCCGTGTCACCAAATCAGCGCGGCGGCCGGACCGGCCCGGACCGGACCGCTCGAGCGGTCCGGTCCGGGAGGAGCGCGCTCCTCCGACTCCCAGACGGAGTACGGCCGGCCCTCGCCGAAAACAATTACCGGCCGGCGACCACCTGGCCCGGGGAGGCAGAGGGAGGGGAGGGGTGACCACCTCCGTCTCGGCCGCTTCCTGTCCCTTCCCCCCTCCCCTTCCTCCCCCCCCCCCCCCCCCCGGCTGCCGGTGAAACAAAGCGGCGCGGCGGGCCGAGCCGCGCCGCCCGCCCGCGGCCGGTCCACCGGCCACCGTTCGTCGGAAAGTCATTTCATCCACAAAAGAAGCGAAATACACCATTCGAAAGCTGACGGTGAGCTGATTCCAAAAATGTATTTTTATCAAAATCGTCTGATGGCCTTAAAAAAAAATTGAGAACTCAGAAATGAAGCCTCAGACCTAAGACCTGACACCTCAGACCTGCAAACTCAGACCTGTGACTTGCACCGGGTTGCACAGACCTGAGACCTGCACCGGCCAACCTATAATAGACTGCAAACTAGATAGGGTGGTTTTCAATGAGTACCTGATGGTATCGATCTTGACGCAGCTTGGTGATGACTTTTGATATTGACGTTTTATTTATCGGAGAACTAATTAGAGTTCTTTGTTCTTCCGTTAAGGCATCCCTACCTCACACTCATCGCTGCCACTAAACTATAAGAATGCACATATCTCTCGCTTTCTATTTACGTAGCTATAAGTCGAGTTATGTCCGATAAGCCTCTCCACAGCCTTGTCACAAGCTTCAGAATATTCGCCTTTCAATTGATAAGCCCCAGCATTGAGCGGAGCTACTCTATGGACCCTCCTATCAGACCCTCCGATCAGACCCTCATATCAGACCCTCCAATCAGACCCTCCAATCAGACCCTCCAATCAGACCCTCCGGCCAGATCCCCTCCATCGGAGCCCCTCCGATCAGACCCTTGGGCCAGACCCTCCTATCAGACCCTCCGATCAGACTCTCCTATCAGACCCTCCGATCAGACCCTCCTATCAGACCCTCCGATCAGACCCTTGGGCCAGACCCTCCTATCAGACCCTCCGATCAGACCCTCCTTTCAGACCCTCCGGTCAGACCCTCCAATCAGACCCTCCAATCAGACCCTCCGGCCAGACCCTCCTATCAGACCCTCCTATCAGACCCTCCTATCAGACCCTCCGGTCAGCCCCCTCCATCGGAGCCCCTCCGGTCAGCCCCCTCCATCGTAGCTCTGAGAGACAGAGCCGATGCCGTGCGCCGGGCGAAAGTGTCCCGTTCGGCAGCCGGTCAGTCCGTCCCGCTGGAGCCGGGCCGGGTCGGGACAGGTGGACCGACGTCCCACTGGTGTCGGGCCGGGTCGGGACAGGTGGACCGACGCGGACGCCGGCGAAATCGAGCGCCGAGAGCGGCGGCCCCGCTGGCCGCTCCCCAGCACGGGCCACCTCGGTAGTTCTGTGCCACTCTGAACTCTGCAGCCAATATCCTTCCGAATAATTCAGTCAGCTCCTAACCGAGCCGATCGCCTGCCGTTGCCATGTTCGCGCCTGCACCCGCTGCTCAGGTAGCTCAGGTAGCTCAGATAGCCCTGTGCCTGCCACTCAGTTAGCTCAGGTATCGCTGTGCCCGCGGCTCAGGTAGCTCAGCTAGCTCAGGTAGTTAAGGTAGCTCAAGTAGCTCAGGTGGCTCAGGCAGCGCCTTTGCCCGCTGCTCAGGTAACTCAGGTAACTCAGGTAGCCTTGTGCCTGCCGCTCAGTTACCTCAGGTATCGCCTGTGCCTCCTGCTCAGGTAGCTCAGGTAGCTCAGGTGGCTCAGGTAGTTAAGGTAACTCAGGTAGCTCAGGTAGCTCAGGTAGCTTAGGTGGCTCAGGCAGCGCCTTTGCCCGCTGCTCAGGTAACTCAGGTAACTCAGGTAGCCTTGTGCCTGCCGCTCAGTTACCTCAGGTATCGCCTGTGCCTCCTGCTCAGGTAGCTCAGGTAGCTCAGGTGGCTCAGGTAGTTCAGGTAGTTCAGTTAGTTCAGGTAGCTCAGGTAGCTCAGGTGGCTCAGGTAGTTCAGGTAGTTCAGGTAGTTCGGGTAGCTCAGGTAGCGCCTGTGCCCGCTGCTCAGGTAGTTCAGGTAGCTCGGTTACTCAGACAGCGCCTGTGCCCGCTGCTCAGGTAGCTCGGTTACTCAGGCAGGGCCTGTGCCCGCTGCTCAGGTAGCTTAGGTAGCTCGGTTACTCAGGCAGCGCCTGTGCCCGCTGCTCAGGTAGCTCAGGTAGCTCGGTTACTCAGGCAGCGCCTGTGCCCGCTGCTCAGGTAGCGCCGTATCTGCACCAATCGATCAGACTACCAGGTCCGACGCTGACCGGTGGTCGGTGACCAATAGACCAGCGGAGACCGATAGACCGGCGGAGACCGATAGACCGGCGGAGACCGATAGACCGGCGGAGACCGATACCCCGGCGGTGACCGATAGACCGGCGGTGACCGATAGACCGGCGGTAGTGAGCCGTGACCGGCGGCTGACCGTTATCGCCAGCGGAGGTGCCACCAGTAGCCGGCACCGGAGGAGGCCACCGCGGCCCCGACGGGCCCCTGGCCGCAGCGCGGCCGTGATGACACTGACGTATACTGCTAACTCAGTGCCGCCGCGACACAGAGCCTGCCGAACCAGCCGGCCGGTCACGACGCCAATGGACGGTGGACCGGTGGTGACCGGTGGTCACCACCGGTCCAGTCGGCGCGTCAGCACAGGTCACGTCGTGCTGGCCATTGGAATCAACTGTTTCCATGTGACTGAATGAGACAATTAATCCACCAATGACGATGGCAACTCCCTGTTATCACTGTATGGACGAGCAACCATGACCCAAAAATGAGAAGTGGGCTATATCCCTCGCACGACCAGGCCATTTCTCATAACACGAACGACCAGGGGGGGGGGGTTGTTACGACCCCCCCCCCCTGGCGTTTCGAAACGGAAGGTCGTAGAGCTTAGCGGAAAAAAAAACAACGGATTGCTCTCAACGAGATCTCGCGATTGATGGTATATTTTTTGGTCCTAGGTCAACATTTGACCTACTTATGACCGGTCAAAGGTCAAATTTTCCGAAAAATCAAACTTTTTCAACTTTCCGCGGCGATTGCGGCAAAACGGTGGGAGATATCGACTTGAAACCTTCACTATCGTGTTCCTTGATCAATTCTCTATCGTTTGGTATGTATTTCGTTTCCCTAGCTCTAAAAATGGCGCGTTGGGAGCGCCGGAAGTCGGCAAGGTCACAGTCGGCGGCAGAAATTCGAAAAATCAAAATTTAAATTTTTGAAATCTGATTGTATTTTTGGATTTGGGAGGTCCATTTGCTCCCTATAGAAGCTAATATTGCTGCATATTCCCATTGACGTGACAAGAATTAGCAAAATAGTGGTTCGGGCGCTTTTCAAAAATAGTACCGGACGTTGTTCCTCTTGTGACGTCATAGCTCCGTGACCTGACCTGACCCGGTCAATTTTCTTGCACCACACGATAGCCAATGCTTGCCCCAACATGCATGGGAAGTTTCATCATGATCCATCAAACAATGTGGGTATCACCGGCAGAAAACCTAGGGATTCGGCGCACACGTTTGGTAACTGTCGGCCGGAGGCTGTACCTCTTATGACGTCATAACTCCGTGACCTGACATGACCCGATCAATTTTTTTCGGCAAAAGATGCGCAAAGGTTGCCCCAGAGGGTATTGAAAATTTCAGCCCGCTTCGACAAGCCGTTTAGCGTGCACTTCGAAAAAACCTCAGGGGGGGGGTTGATACAACCCCCCCCCCCCCTAGGCGTTCTAGGGATATACTTACGGTGCTATTCGGAAGCCGTGCAACTGCTCGACGAAAATATCATCTCTGTGCACCAAAAATGAAATAATTGATCTTTGTATCGCCTATACTCAGTGCTAACCCCATTGCCAGCACTCAGCACTTGATAATGCCGGACATCACAATATACCTACAATCTTCCGTCAAGAAGCTAAGGTTTAATTAGTAGGTGTTTATCCCACACAATACGACATACGTTAGGAGCCGGTCTGATAATGTTCTACTCCTGCGAACATCTATTCCAGTCACAATAGCACCACTTGTATTACAAGGAACATGCCTGTACTCTTCTGTTTAGTGAGGCTTAAGCCGCTGGAGCGGTTGTATGTAGGAAACGTTGCATTGTCTGAACAAAAAATAGCGTGCTGTACTGTTTTACGCACGTCAGAACAAGGGACGGAATTGGCGATTTCCGGTGTTGCAACCGTTATTTTGGTCAGTGTGCCGCGGATTTCCGGCGCCGCACTGGCAATGCCGGTGTTGTATATAGTGATTTCTGTTACTGTTCCGGTGATTTCTGTTCTGTATCACATTATTTTTGATACTGTACCAGTGATTTCCGACGCTGTACCGGTGATTTCCGGTGATTTCCGGTACCGTACTGGTTAGTTCCGGCGCTGTGCCGCTGATTTCCGTTACTGCAGCGCTGTTTCCGGTTTTCTCACCGTTACGACGTGCTCTCACCTGTGTTGCGGCTGATTTCCGAGGAGAGCGGTGAGATGGGCTCCTCGGAGCTGGGACCGGAGCCGTTCACCCGCGGCCCGGTCGGGTCGATCGCCAGCGGCCGGGCGGCCATGTCAGCCCAGTGCGATCCGCCGCCCGGGTCACCGCTCACAGACGCTCACAGACGCTCACAGACGGCGCGGCTCGCGCAGCTCGCAGCTCGGCTACACAGCGGGCAGCGCCGGCATTCTGTAACAGATGGGCCGGCCCGTCAGCCGGAGCGGCTCCCAGTCTGCCCAGTCCTCGGTCTCAGTCTGCCCAGTCTGCCCAGTCCTCCGTCCCAGTCTGCACAGTCCTCCGTCCCAGTCTGCACAGTCCTCCGTCCCAGTCCTCCGTCCCAGTCCTCCGTCCCAGTCTGTACAGTCCTCCGTCCCAGTCCTCCGTCCCAGTGTGCCCAGTCCTAGTCTGTACAGTCCCGAGTCCGTCCCCGACCCCATTCTGGTCCTATAGTGCGCGGTCCGCCCGGTCCGTCCTGCAGGAGCGACGCCCCTCCCGGTCTGAGCCACTGCACTCCGGGCGAAACGGGCACACCTCCGACAATGACACAAACCGACCATTACACCCCCCCCCCCCCCACCCGACCATATAACAAACCGACCATAGCACACCCACGGTTCGTCGGAAGGTCATCTCAGGCTCAAAAGAAACGATATATACCATTCGAAAGCTGACGGTGAGCTGAATCCAAAAATGTAATTTTTATCAAAATCGATCGATGGCCTTTTTTGAAAATTGCGTTTTTGTAAAAACTTAATAATCTTTTATTCAACGGGCTGTCCTGGACATTCTTGAAAACATAAACATGTATTTTTGAGTTCCAGTGAAAGCTGAATGCCAAAAGAACAGTATTTAGGGAAGCAACATTTCCAAACATTAATATGCGTCTCCCACAGCCGAAAATAAGGCGCAATCACACAGCTCAGTGTCATGATGGACCAAAGTCAGCCACATAGAAGCGTGAAATGACCCTTATCGACTCGCAGACCCGGCGCTCTAGGCCCGCCTGACCGGCCACGGAAAGAACGTTCGGCTCTCGTTCTACTAAACAAATGTCATATTTGTCAGTTTAACTGTCCACATCGCTATTAAAGTTATTCAGGATACCTGTGAAGAAAATTCATTGTTCTGTCATCTTCACATCAGCCATTAATTTGCATTTGTTCATGTCTACTTTGCTCAATTGAGCTTGGTATCATGCCCATATAAGGAAAATTGGCCGCGCTGAAATGTCAGAGGCTGCACCGGCCTCAGCTCGGGTGGAGTGGGGGTAGCGCCCGGCGGGGCAGGGTAACCTTTGACCGGTCGCACGGCCGAGCAGCTGTCACCAGTACAGCCTCTGACAGTGAAACCCCGCTCACTTCCCCTGCGCGGGCACTGATCGCAGCTGGATTGAACAAAACATGCATAAGAAAAATGTAAATTAAAGCATGTTGTAAATCGAGCAGAACAATGAATTTTCTTCACAGGTATCCTGAATAACTTTAATAGCGATGTGGACAGTTAAAGTGACAAATATGGCATTTGTTTAGTAGAACGAGAGCCGAACGTTCTTTCCGTGGCCGGTCAGGCGGGCCGAGAGCGCCGGGTCTGCGAGTCGATAAGGGTCATTTCACGCATCTGTGTGGCTGACTTTGGTCCATCGTGACACTGAGCTGTGTGATTGCGCCTTATTTTCGGCTGTGGGAGACGCATATTAATGTTTGGAAATATTGCTTCGCTAAATATTGTTCTTTTGGCGTTCAGCTTTCACTGGAATTCAAAAATAATGTTTATGTTTTCAAGAATGTCCGGGACAGCCCGTTGAATAAAAGATTATTAACCCTATTAGTGGCAGGCTCCTGGCTACCCCCTATTAGTGGCAGGGGGGGCTGTTTACGACCCCCCTTGATATCTCGAGATCTAACGGGCCGATTTTCAAAATTTAAACGGCATTCGATTTCGCTCAACGAGATCTACATTTCTAAAAAAAAATTGAAAAATGTCAATAGGGGGGTAGAGGGGGGTAAAAACGGGCAAATTGCAGATACATTTTAGACTGTTTATCACGGCCAGGTTTCTGAACCAATCTTAACGCAACTTTTGCCGATCGATAGAGAATGAACCAGGAATTCACATGGATCCTAAAAATATGCATTTTCAAAAATCATAGGCGGATACAGATCATTGAGATTGGGGGTACACAAAAAGTATAGTAAATAAGGTTTTTGTTGGTACTGTTTCTAAAAAGGGTGGCAATGGTCTTGTTATGTTACACTTTTCTTATGAGAGAACGACTAAAATTGTATTGGTCATGCATAGGCGGTGTCAGGGCACCTATGTTGGGAGGTAAAAAATAACCCCCCTTTTTGGACGCCTGGATCCGTCTATTATAGCAAAAACGTGTCAAAAGAGGATGCACAATAACTTTGTATATGTTATCACATGATACCTTTCATTCACTGTTCGTAAAACTGGTGCAGCATCGTGATCTTCGCCCAAATGACTCGCTTCACGAATAGGACCCCCCAATTCCCAGTGCTCTGGAGCCGCCCCTGGTAAAGTTATGAACTTGAAATTTTCAGGGAATGTGCCCAATTTAGTTTTAGGAAAAGTCAGAAAATTTCAGCATCGTAGCTTCAGCGGTTTCGGAGATATTCCCGAAAAACCTGAGGGGTGGATAAAAACACCCCCCTGCCACTAATAGTTAAGTTTTTACAAAAACGCAATTTTTAAAAAAGGCCATCGATCGATTTTTACAAAAAATACATTTTTGGATTCAGCTCACCGCAGCTTTTGAATGGTATACCCTCGCCCGTAAACGGCGATCTGCCACCTTCGCCCATGCAGGGGGGGGGGTTGGTGCGACCCCCCCTTAGCGTTTGAAAACGGAGCGTCGTAGAGCTTAGCGGAAAAGACCAACGGATTGCTCTCGCCGAGATCTCGCGATTGGTGGTATATTTTTTGGTTCTAGGTCAACATTTGACCTACTTTTGACCGGTCAAAGGTCAAATTTTCGGAAAAACAGACTTTTTTCAACTTTCCGCGGCGATTGCGGCAAAACGGTGGGAGATATCGACTTGAAACCTTCACTATCGTGTTCCTTGATCAATTCTCTATCGTTTGGTATGTATTTCGTTTCCCTAGCTCTAAAAATGGCGCGTTGGGAGCGCCGGAAGTCGCCAAGGTCACAGTCGGCGGCAGAAATTCGAAAAATCAAAATTTCAATTTTTGAAATCTGATTGTATTTTTGGATTTGGAAGGTCCATTTGCTCCCTATAGAAGCTAATATTGCTGCATATTCCCATTGAGGTGACAAGAATTAGCAAAATAGTGGTTCGGGCGCTTTTCAAAAATAGTACCGGACGCTGTTCCTCTTGTGACGTCATAGCTCCGTGACCTGACCTGACCCGGTCAAGTTTCTTATACCATATGATAGCCAATACTTGCCCCAACATGCATGGGAAGTTTCATTACGATCCATCAACCGATGTCCGTACCACCGGCAGGAAACCTCGGGCGTTGGCACTCAGTTTGTGAAAATCCGGCCGGAGGCTGTTCCCTTTGTGACGTCATAACTCCGTGACCTGACATGACCCGGTCAAATTTTTTTATCAAAAGATGCGCAAGGTTTGCCCCATAAGGTACCCAAAATTTGGCGGCGCTGCGCGCCGCCGTTTTTGCACTATTTCCGAAAAACCTCAGGGGGGGGTTGCACCAACCCCCCCCCTACATGGGCGAGGGATATACCGTCTTTTGAGCCTGAGATGACCTTCCGACGAACCGTGACCCCCCGGACATAGCACACCTCCGACCATAACACATCTCCGACCATAACACAACCTGACCATAACACACCTCCGACCATAACACAAACCGAGCGACCATAGCACAAACCGACCATAACACACCTCCTAGTCCTGACCATGACACACCTCCGAGTTCCGAGTTCCGACCATATCACAAACCGACCATAACACAACCTGAGCATAACACACCTCCGACCATGACACAAACCGACCATAACACCCCCCCCCCCGACCATATCACACCTCCCAACCATAACACATATCACAAACCGACCATAGCGCAACTCCCAACCATATCACAAACCGACCATATCACACCTCCCGACCATATCACAAACCGACCATAACACAACTCCCGACTATAACACACCTTCCGGTCAGCTTTCTCGACGCGTAACAGCTCGGGCAGACCTGTCGCATCGCCGGACTCGTAAACGTGCCGCGATGGCCCTGAACACCTGAGCGCGGCCGGTTCAACGCGATCGGAGTGCGGCGGGCTCGGCCGGGCCAGGGGTGATCTGGGCACCGCCGGCGGCGGAGAACGGACGGACAACCAGCCACTGTGTCCGGCGGACTGTTTACTAGGAGCAGCTGAGACGCCGGCGGACCGGTCTGAGCGGACGTACACAGGTAGTCGGGGCGGAACGGACGGGATTGAAGCCCTAATGGGCGCAAACAAACTGAACTGATGGAGAAAACAAACCTCGACACAAGGCGCCCCTGACAGTCACTGCCCTACCGGAACACACACGCTTCCTTCGTTTACCAACGAATGAAACACAACAATCACTGGTAACTGAGCGAGTTTCACAGCGAGTGAAAAAACTGCCCGTCAAAAAATAACTGCAAATACTTATGACGCATTTATCGACGACTCGAACAGTTATGGGCCATAGGGTAGCGAGAGCGACCAGAGAGTTGACCTCCAGCGAAAGCCAATTGACATCGCATGTTTAGGTACGAAGGCTTATCAAATGTTTACACTGACAGGCTAGGTCTAGGACGACATGTGACGAGTGTCGACGATATATGTCGACGATGTCGACGACGACGTCTGCACTGGTCGACGAGTGTCGACCAGTGCAGACGATATATCCCGGTGCGGGGGCGGCCGCGCGGTGCAGACGATATATCCAGGTGCGGCGGCGGCGGCGCGCCGGCCGGCCACTGCCGCCGTGCACTGGTGGAGGCTCGGCCGGGTCACCGGGACCTGCAGATATAAGTCCGAGCCACTCGGATCAGAAATGTGTCCGGAGGTGCGCCAGCTCCGAGAGGCCGGTAGAGCACTGTCCTCACCAGCGCGCCGGTCAGGGGGCGTGGGATTGAGCGTGGGAATGAGCGTGGCAGCAGTGGCATGAGGCGAGTCGGATGTCCGGCGCGAGGCGCGGTTGGAACCACTGGCAA